CCTTTTCTATAAATATTTGCATGGCAGTTATTCTGATGAACCTTTACGAATTTAAGCGCAGTACTAGATTGGCAGCTAGGTTTCATCCTTTTATAGCTGAAATGCCTAGGTATAACTAAGTTCTATGTTAACAGTTTCTTCTCCTGCACTTCTCGCGAGTGAAACTTTCTTGCGTCTTAGTAAATTTATTGCCTTGCTTGGGGTGAAATGATCAAAATCAAAATAAAAAAAACAGCTTAGCTGATTGCTTTATATATTCTACTGGAGGCTCTTAAAATCGTAGGTACTCAAAAGAGGAAAGGGATTATTAGGAGTCGACTACACACACACACACACACACACACACACACACACACATATATATATATATATATATATATATATATATATATATATATATATATATTATGTATTTGGGTAGCATTTTTTCATTCATACATGCTTCATTAAATAATATAGACAAGTGTTGTTTATTTATTTTATGTAAATTCTTTTCATAACATCTGATAAGCTTAATAACATTATCCTTAAACGAAGAAAGAAAATCTCAATATTGATCCATATTTTTTAAATCCAAAATAAGTTTTCAGCTTACATAAGCCATTCTCAAAGATGACAATTACTGTACAATACATTAAGCAATATACGGACAAGACAGTGATGATAGTCTGTTATTGTTTACATGGATGATTTCCAAGCAACGATAAACACGTGCATATAAGACGCTGGAAGCGAAAGTCGCACTGCAGCTCATGACGTCACACATGACCACGCGAGAGTGAATTCGAGAAGTATTAAGTATGGGAAGCCGTTGGTATAAACCAATGGCTTCTGTTACCAATTATAGACATTTAAGGACATATTAATCTCCTATATTGCGTGGTACAGTTGGTATATCGTTTGCCTAGTATCGATTCTCGGTAGTGGACGCGCACTTCTGATAAGTCCCAAATAGGACGAAACGGCCGTCCAGTGCTTTCTGCATTCTGTTGAAGATTATTCAGGGCTCGATGAATTACTATATATGATTAGTCTAAATCCCCCCAAATTTCTTCCCAATATATATATATATATATATATATATATATATATATATATATATGAAGAAAAATATACAGAAAAAACAAACAAAAATCTTAATATGCAATTATGCGGACGTTTCAGTCTATTTTAGACCATCGTCAGGACATATTCATAAAACATAATTAACATTAGAACATATAATATGTCCTGATGATGGCCTAAAATAGACCGAAACGTCCGACGTTGACTTTATATTAACATTAATACAGCATAATTGCATATTAAGATTTTTGTTTGTTTTTTCTGTATATTTTTCTTCATACTGTCGGATCTATATCCATATATTTGCTTACACACACACACACACACACACACACACACACACACACATATATATATATATATATATAAAGGTTAATGGTCAGTGTTCAATCATACCAGGAAACAGTAGCATTAAAAAGTGCTCAATGCACTGAGAAAAAAAATTAATAAAAAATACCATGGAGAGCTTTTAAGTTTAAAAATCAGAAGGTCAATTAAAATACGCGACCACGGTTTCGACCTGGCGGTCTCGTCGGGCGATACATTTAAAGTGACCACTTTAACGCTTTATTTAAAATAATAATAATAATAATAACGCTACATATTTATCTTTCAAAAAAAAAAATAACAGGCTTATGATGAATGAAAGACAGGGCATTGGGTGTAATGGAAAGGGAAGTTGAAAAGGAAGTGAAAGAAAGAAAAGAAAAAATACGTCTTTTTTTGGAAAGGAAAGGCAAGGAAAGACAGGAAAGCAAAAAACGTCTTTTTTCGATTCTTTAATCAAGGTTGTTCCGTTATAGAACAAAATGGATTTGCGACAGTGTAAAATTATTTTCGTTTGGTCTACTGTTATTTCTACGAAGCCTTTGGTGAAATGTTGAGCCTCTGGTAGATTGATTAAAGTTCTTAATGTCATATTTTATGAATACTCGTTTATATGTTTATTGACCCATATATATATATATATATATATATATATATATATATATATATATATATATATATATATCTTTATATATATATATATATATATATATATATATATATATATATGAAGAAATATAGTCTTAAGATGTGCTATATTTATAGGATAAAGTGCTCAATATCAGAGATAGAGCGTGTGTAAATATAAAAGTGAACATAGAAGTCAACACTTACAGACGACAGTCTGTTTCATGCTAGATGCAATCATCAGGCCACAAGTGCTGTTATTTTTCTCGGCTATTTATATATACAGGTCAGTGGTGCATTGTGGGTAATCTATTTTAGCGGTTATTTTACCGGAAGTCGTTTATTTGTTTGTTTATTTATTTATTTGGGTTAAATTATTTTGCTCGTTTTTATTTATTTTTATTTTTATTTCTTATCGTATATATTTATTTATTTTTTATTTTAATCAGTGTTTTTTATTAACGTAGTAAAAAATTGTTTATATCGCTTATTTAATAGTTTTGTTTTGGTTAAATAACACATCTATAAGACTACCATTCGCCAGTGCTTAGAATATTGCTGCCATATATGGGCCGGTGTCCCTGCTGCCCACGCAGGTCTCCTTGATATGATCAGCAATATTATTGGTCTGGATCTGGCTGATGGGCTGCAGTCACTTGCCTACCTCGAAAGGTTGCCTCTCTATGCCTTTGTTTTATAAATACTTTCCTGGTAATTGTTCGGATTAGCTCTTCTCTATGGTACCTCGGTGTGGTGTAATGGTTAGCAAGCTTGTCTTGCAAGAACATATTACGACTGAGCAGTGATTTCCATCTTCACTGGGTGCTCCGTACTTCCGGCCTTGTGCCACATCTAAGCAGCGCTTAGAAAATCATAAGACAGAAGAAGACCGTCCTTTCCCCAATCCCCTTTTTGACCATGTGCCACATTTCTGTAGAAAACATAATAAATATTGCTCTTCTCTATAGTACCTAGACTCTATGAATTTAAGCGCAATACTTGACTGGCGGCGAGGTCTCATTAATTTACAATGGCGCTAGCTTCATGTAGCCATAAATTCTGTGCTGACATGTTCTTTTCTCGCGTTTCTCGCTCGTAGAACTCCTTTCCGGTCCCATGGTTACCAGCCAACTTTAATCTACATAAATTTAAAAATGTAATGTCTTCCTCACTGCTCTTTTATCCTTCAATTCATGACTAATGTTTCTGTTCCTAATTTCTCCTCATGCTGTAACCCTTTGCGTATGAGTTTTTGACTAATAGTGTTAAATAGTTTTTTAAACATTTACTCAGTTCATAACTTAGTTACCTCCCCTGACGTTCACATTATAAAATTTAAATCGTACTGTGAATAACCTTACCGTTTTTCATTTCACAAGTAAAAAAAATAACTTTCAGATGAACACAAAAAGATCCTGATGATGACATTGTGCTAATGTCAAAAGTACTCAGAATAAATGGATATGTATCAACATGGTAATTTTCTCTCTCCCTTTAATAAGAATACTAAGAAGCTTGTCCGTGACTATGAGAGGATCTTATTGAAAATTAGTAGGCAAAACTTGTCTAAATTATTCTATGAGACATTAATGAAAAAATGATGTCATATATACGCAATTTAAATATAGATAAATATTGCAAAGGCATAGAGAGATAAAGAGATAGATAGATATCCTCTCTTCCTTTAATAAGGATACTAAGAAGCTTGTCCGTGAATATGAGAGGATCCTTTTGAAAATAAATAGACAAAACCTGTCTAAATTATTCAATGAGGCATGTCTTAATGAAAACATACTGTCAAATATACGCAGTTTAAATATAGATAGCTAGATAGATATTGCAAAGTCATAGATAGATAGATAGATAGATAGATAGATAGATAGATAGATAGATATTGCAAAGTCATAGATAGATAGATAGATAGATAGATAGATAGATAGATAGATAGATAGATAGATAGATAGATATTGCAAAGACATAGATAGATAGATAGATAGATAGATAGATAGATAGATAGATGTGTGTGTGCGTCTGTTTGTGAGTGTGTGTGAGTGTGCATGTGTGTGAGTATGAGTGCATGTGTACGCGCATGTGGGCGTGTCCGTGTGTGCGCATGCATGTGTGTGTGCGTGTGTGTGTGTGAGCGTGGGGGTGATTTAGCTAATAATGATGATGACATCCTCCACGACTAAAGAATTTGGCATGACTTTCCGAACACAAAAGACACACATACGGGCACATATACGTATGTTCACACATGGATACGCATATAAATACGTTCGCATGTATACGAACGAACGGTCAGAGACACACACACGCATACATAAACACTGAGAGACACACAGACATGCGCACACACTTCAAGACAACTGGGTACTTGTATTTATCAATGTACACCGCAGAAGAACGAAGAAAAAATAGGAGAAAAACAAAGGTGCATTTAAAATGGCTGGATGTCAAATGTGGAAATTCTCTTAAAATATAAGCAGTGAAAATGGTTCAGAGAAACAAATCAGGTTTGTTGATAGCGACCAATTGAAAGACGAATATATGAACATGAGCATTGTGTAGTTTTAGATAGATAGATAGATAGATATGAACAAACTGAGATAGATAGATAGATAGATAGATAGATAGATAGATAGATAGATAGATAGATAAAGGGTGCGATGGGTAAATTGTCGCCATTTTATATTTTAACTTCGCGCATGCGCATTATGTGTTTTTGATTCTGTTGACTGCACAGTATAGTCGGGTCAGTTGGGCACCGTCTGTGAGAAAAAGAGCATCATAACACAATTCACTCCGACGGAAATTTCGAAACGGTATGCTGTACTGCTAGATATCTTTGTGTAATTTTCGCAAATATTGTTTGCCAATAATGAGATGTCAGTGTTATTTTTTTTTTTTTTACGTAATTTAGTCGACAATTTATCCATCGTACTTTGTACAAACATACATACATACACACATGCATGCAT